AAGTGCTTTTTCCGGGAACACACTGTAACCCAAACAAGATTTTAACCTAGAAAATATTAAGCATTAGCAATGAGTTTGAGCTCTTTGGTGCTGGAGTCCACTCCCGGGTTGTGAGGTCTGAAGTTCGGGCTTAATTCAGAGTCCCAAAAAAAAAAAAAACCTCGGGCTTAATTCAGAGTCCCAAAAAAAAAAAAAGGGGTAACTGCTTCAATGCAGATATGGAAGTTGGAAGTCCAAGAGCATAGCCTTCTTTAATGCAGCGGACTTCCTTAATTGCTCTCCAGCTAGACGCTACCTGAAGCATCGTCTTCAGCAAATATATCCCACTGTTATTATGAAAAGTGACCTTTCATTTAGAGTGGAAGGACATCAATTCTCTAATAAAAAAAAAAAAGGACATCATTTCGAAACCCAAATAAATTCACTTACTTACCTAGGTACTATAAAAAAGGGAGATTTGCAAATTGATCCCCAGTAAAGTAACCAAAGTAAAAATTCAGTAATCTATCCTAAGCAAACTATCGTACATTTAAACTTTTCTGTGAAGCTTGTGCCCCTTGTGAAAGTTCTACTGGATCAGCCTTGAAGAAAAGAACAAATAGTTCCTTCTCTTCTTTATCTCTTGATTTTAATTAGTGCAATTGCTGATTTCTCATTCCTCAATGTTGGGATGTGCAGATTTTATTAAGAGCAAGTGTGACAATCATAAATATGTTTTAACTCACCTGAGGTAAAGACAAGTGCGTAACTTTCATTGGGCATGAGGCACGTAATAGGTTAGCGTACGTTCTGTGTTTTTAGCCCGGTCCATTTATGGCGGCCACCTGTGTGTACTCGCTGCCCAGTGCCGCAGAGTCACTGATTGGATAGGACAGTTTGAAGCCAGAAAGAAGACGATTTTGATTTTGCATTTATGTCCTCCGGAAGGAAGCACTGCAGCATTTGCATGGAAGCTCCCCTTTCATTTCATATGTATATATATGGTCGCGATTTTTCAGTATTAGACAGGACCACTGGCTAGCTGTTTACTAAGACCAAGTCACGGAAGATAAACATAGAGTAGATCTCTGCTGCATGGAGTGGATGGACCTTGTGGGAGCAGCAATAATTTGGTATGTTTCAGATTCATATCATCATGTTTACATTTGTGCGGAATGTACTCGTACACTCAGATTTCAGGCAGACTGAATACAAATTTTGGCTTATTTGTGATGGCACTGGACTTGGGTTGATTTTTTGTGGCCATGCAATAAATGATCTGCAGTCTTGACGTTACGTTGTATCATGATTGAAGCATCCCACTTCCTCTCCCGGTCTGCACTAGGGTTCCTCTTACAGTTTGATAATCAGACCTTTCTTGTTAAACCTCCTAGCTAATTAAGCTTAAGGCCCTGTGTGGAGAGTTAGCATGGCCCTTGGAAGTGTTCCATATATGAAGGAAGTCCTTGATGTCCAAAAATAATAAAATACGTCAAAACACAAGTTGGCTCAATTGATAAAGGATGTAGCACTTTCTCATAAAAGATCGTATATTTGAATTTTGCTATCGATCGATGTAAAACCTGTGTTGATAGGCGATATGTAAGAACTTCTACAAGTGACCTATGATTTCAAAGGGATACCCTCACCCGTAGCGGTGATTGAAACTTGATCCATCTAGACTTTATTTTACTATCAAAATAAAAAGAAACTGCAGTAACTTTGGTGTTCACGGATAAAGAAGAACTTCATAACAAAAGGTGAAAAGTCCATATAATGTGAACTGTGTAAAATTAAAGGGGCATTAATGTGCTGATCAATTGTAATTTGTAGGAAACGAAAAATCTGCATTTACTTCTTTATGCTGACAACCATTTGGGCAGCATGTCTATCTGGCTCATCAAGTGTAGCACTTGCTTCCAAGAATCTTATGTAATCATGCAGTACACCAAAAAATTAAAAAAAAAAGAAAAAAAGAAGTAGAATCGAATATGAGAATCAGTAGTATTTGTAAAAGAAATATGAGAATCAGTGACCAGTCCACTGACCCCAGCTCATGCAACAGCAGTAATTTGAAGAAGCAATTAAAATTGACAGCGTAGGGCTTGCAGCTCAATCAATGTTCAGGGAACATGAAATTGGAAGTACCTGATCCATCATCTCGTATTTTCAGCCTGCAGGAATAGGCTTTTCAATGGTCAAGGACCCTCCGTGTTCGGATGAGGAATCCAAATCCGTGCAAGTTATATCTCTTCTTCTACTTTGTTTTATTTTTTTTATACACGTTCATTAGTGCTTTGTCATAAGCAGCAATAATAATAATAATGTCTTGTTAAGTCCAGGATTATAACTTATGCATGAATGATGGGTACAGAGTGCAGCATGTCTTGTCGATGAATGAAAAATTATCTTCGTATGGCAAAAACAACTCAATTTGGACCACTGGAAAATTTTCTAATAGACAATATGATTAATTATATAGATAAGAACCAAAGGCTTACCTGCAAACAAACAAATATTTTTTTTAAAAAAAAAGAAGAAAGAATATCTCTGAATATTATTTTATTTTTTAAAATAAAAATGTAAAGCTCAAAATGTAAAACTCAAACTCGAACTTAAAAAATAATTATTTTATTTTTTAAAAATAAATAAAATAATAATTTTTCTTAACAAATAATAAAATATTAGGAATATATATATGTAATTTTATTAGTAAAATAAAAAATAATATATATATATATATATAAAATCGAGTCAGCTCGTGAGATAATGAGACGAATATCTCTAGACTTGAACTCGACTCGAGTTCATCTTGATCAGTCAGGTTGAACTTAATTCGAACGCAATGTTGACCAAACTCGAGTCTAGTATGGGATTGAGTTACTTGCAAGCGATTTGATTCATTTGTAGTCCTACTTGAAAGCAAACAGCATTGTTCAGTCCGAACAAAAATTTTAATTAAATTTAAAACTAACCCTATATTTAAAGGCCTGGGAGGATACAATTCTGTCGCTGCTTGGTAATACTACAAGCTACTTATCGCCGCACTCCTTGAAAGATAAGACGAACTCTTTGTTCTTAGGTAGTTCTTTTTATTATTTTTAAAGTTGGTAAAAATCCTTGGTGACTTAAAACTTGTTTAGAAAAGATAATAAAGGGATAATCCCTAACATTATATCCCAGTCTAGGGATAAATTTAGAAAAAAGAAAATGTTTCAAATAGTAATTCACGAGCTTAAAAAATGAAATAAAAGTAATCAATCTACCTGCTGTGTAACCAAAGAGCAAAACGGAGAAGATTTCGAGAGAGACAAATCCTACCAAACATCAATTTGGTATGTTTAGTTATCAAGATTTGCCAAAAAAACAAAAAATCACGTTTTGTTTTGCTTATATCATAAATATAATTTTTAATTATTTTTTATCTCACACATACCCCCTTGTAAAAAAGTTGAACAATATTTCACATAATTTTTTTTTTTCCAAATAATTTACTACTACCGTCCAAACGAACCAGCTTCCCGACAAACATCCCCCTGTGTTTTCTCGACCAGACCTGGCCAAGCATATGGATTTTAACTGTCCGGCCTCGGGTCCCCAATCTTTGTTGAGTTTTAATGATTGGTTTGGCAGCCTTGGTGGATGTCCGCTGGAAATCCCAAAGCTAATTTGATTTTCTTTGCTTTATATCTTTTTTACATTCTTTCAAAAAAAAAAAAAAAAGGATCTTTAACACATATCAAATCAAGTCTAATCAATTTAGAAATTTTTATATTCTGTTTCTAAGCAGATTCTCGCAAACATTTTAGCAATTGCATTGTTTAGTATTTTGATTGTTTACTGGTAGATAATTTCACACTTTAATCGTTTCTTATACACCAAATCCTAATAAGTTATAACTAAAGTGATTTGTCATCGTAATTTCTGTTAAAGACTGAAGAATCAAATGCCTCCTTCTAGTTATTTTTATCTTGCAAATTTGTTTCCACCTCAAATGTTTAATTTTAATTAATCCAAGATTTTCATAACACAAAGTAGTTATCTGGATATTCCGTAGAGCATCAGTTTTTTTTTTTCTCTAATGTCTTATAAAGTTGTACAAAGTAAAAATTTTTCTATAATTTGATTTCTAGCGACCTATCATGAAAAATATAAAGAGTTGACATTTAAATTTACTTTTGATATTCAAGGTATATATAACTCAATGATGAATTATTGAACTACTTTGGGAAAGTACTCTGGCATAAAAAGAGCAATTAGCATAATTATACAAATCCCCCATCAAAAATGTTATTTCCTTATGTTTACCCTTCTTATTATTCAATTAGATCAATGTGCCCCTTAAAAATTTTTAATTTTTCCCAAGATAATAAACAAACCAAGTAATCCTACATTAAAAATGATTTCGACATGCCACATGCCCTTTTTGTAAAGCACAAATTAAAAAAAAAAAACTCAATGAGATTAGTTATTTGTACATATTATTTGTAAAAGATTTGCACAACAACACATATTTGCTTGCAAAATCATCAATTTTGTTGGGCACATATTTTATCTTGATTTTTCTAAATATGACAATACATGATAACAAGCACATCATTGATTTTTTTTTTAAGCTCATTCTTCCTTTCTTCAGATTTGTGTTTGTTGAGTTAATTGTACGTTTGAGTGTAATTTTGTAAATTTAAAAATGGGATCCATCTAATAACAAAATGTGGGGAACAAAATGACAAAGCTGTGTCTTTTGCAGGGGGAATTCCGTAATTAATCTATTTATTAAATGGTAATAAAAAAACGCTATCCTTGTATGGGCCAGACCCGACCGGGATCTACCAGTATTCTAATAAGTCTAATATTTTGGACCCAACCCATGAAGGCCCTACCTTTAACGGGCTGGATAGACCGTGCGTGGCTGGTCTGGTGGTATCCACAATCCACTAAGGAGGGATAGGACGATATAGTCTTTAGACAGGTAACGAGGGACAATATAGTCAATTGACCATTTGAAAAGCCAATGAGCTTCTCTTCTGATCACATCCTGCAAGGCGAAGAACAAAAACAGAAAGAAAATCGGGTCCTTTGAGGGAAAAATAGGTAAATGAAAAAGAATCTTTAAACGGCAGATTTCTGAAATCATAGCCGTCTTCTTTAATCCAATTCCCTCGAAGAACCCTGAATTTCTTTCTTCATTTCCCAATTGCCAAGTGTTTGATAGAAAGCCATGGGAATTAGCGGCCCCGGTGATTTTCTTAGCATTCACCCAACAGAACTCAAGTTTCCATGTAAGTTTTTACTTGAATTTTCTCTTGTTTAAGATTCTTTGCTCTCTGGTATCTGTTTTTTGTCTTTTTTTTTTGGGTTTTGATTTTATTTATTTTTTAGGCATTTGGTGCTTTAGTTTTAGCTGGTTGCTTGATTGTTATGATTCAACTAACGGGTTGTTCTTGTTTTCTGGTTTTTGTTGATGTTACTTCTTGATGATTTTATTGGCATGTATCGGAAAAAGTTGAATTGAGAAAGCAGAGTTCATGTTCTTTGCAACTCACCAACAGGACTGATCAATATATTGCATTCAAGGTACTTGTTAATCTGAGAATCGAATATAGCCTTGTGGTTTAGGGGGCTTCGTTTTTGTGTTGGAACGAGGGTTGGATTTTCAACGATTCCTTTCCTTCTTCCTATTCTGTGAAAAAACAACGTATGTTTTGAATACGGGTTATGGACTAATTAGTTTTGATGTTGTCTTAAGGTTAAAACAACCAATCCCAGAAAGTACAGTGTTCGGCCGAATGCTGGTGTTATTCGGCCTGGTGCCATTAGCAATGTCACCGGTAAAGTTTATTTCATGGAAGTTATAGTTCCTGATAAGAGGTTTTATCATTTATGGTTCTTCATATGTATTAACCAAGTATTCTGGTTTTCAGCATATAATGCTTAGTTGGTGGGGAATATGTACCTTACAGGTTAACTTGTATTGCCAATTGCTTGTTTTCTTGTTGATTGTGCAGTTACAATGCAGGCGCATAAAGAGATGCCCCCTGATATGCAGTGCAAAGATAAGTTTCTAGTTCAGAGTGTTGTCATGCCTGAGGGTGCAAAGGAGTTAAATCAGCAGATGGTGGGTTCTTTCTTTTAGGGCAGATAACTTATGTAAAGAGTCCATTTGATCATATTTTATTCTATTTTCATTTGATTTTGGGTTTGATGAATGAGTTGATATATTGAAATGAACTGATTTTTGTGAATTTGTTCCGTAGTTCGAGAAGGAAGATGGAAAGGTCATTGGGGAGTCCAAATTGAGGGTTGCTTATATTCCTGCCAACCCCCCTTCTCCAGTCCCTGAAGAACCTGAAGAAGATTCTTCTCCCATATCATCTATGATTGATGATGAGGTTAAAAGTTCTGAGCATGTAAGTGTTCATTATTTCACATTTGTTGCCTTGCCTCCATTGACTTTTTAATCATGCCTTGTCCTACAAATATGCCAGGTAAGTAGGACTTTTGAGGAGTCAACAGGCGGAGCATCCTCTTCAGAGGTGAACAGACGTTTCTTTCTTTTGCATCCAACATCATAGGCAACATCTTTGCAGACCTTGTTTTGATTGAAAAATGAACGCACATATCTTAAGGCGCTTCAGTCTGGTTTACATTTATCCATTTTAATTATGCTTTTGTTTTTGTGAAATTTGTTATTTTGGAGATAAGTTTGCAATCAAATATTTTGGCAAGAGAACTTCTGATTGAGTATACCTGTCATCTTAGTGTCCGAAAAAAAGTAGATTGTTTTTTAAGTTGGTTTCTGTATCTTGAGATGCTTTATTGTCGAAATTCTTTAGCAACTGAAAATTTTCTTTTACTGAGGCTGGACATGATGAACTACTGGGGATGCCAATTAATTTGTGCCATTTTGTTGTTCTGGATCAATTAAGTGTCTTGACTGAGTTTTTCTAAAGCATGTGCAATTGTCATCTGCCCTTTGTTAGTCATTTGTGTTATGTTCTTAACCCCTTCTGTGGGTGATAGTTGTTTAGCTTAACACTTTTTCTAATGCAGGATTGGCCTATGATATCAAAGTTGATGGAGGAGAAGACTTCTGCTACTCAACAGAATCAAAAGCTTTATCTTGAGCTGGTATGCTGAGAATGATCATGAATTGCTAAAACTGATGCTATATCACATGATGACTCATGTTTCGATAGTTTCCCTTTTCTTTTTTCCCCCCTCCTTTTCAGACCTTTATGGGGCTATCTAATTTTCCTTTTCGATTCATAATCTATTAACAGTACAGAGTATGAGCATAATTATGTAGGTTCATGCCCATTTTTGTGCTAAGTTGTTTGAGAATTGACTTCAAGATTGGGTATATTGGTTAGGTTCATGATGTGTAGATCAGTAACGTCAAATTAATACTATGTTTGAGCTTGTGTTCAGTTAACAGGATGATGACATCATAGTTTTTTGCAGAAAGATTTGATTTGATTTTTTTTTTTTTATTTTAAATATGGGGAAACCAAAGCTCATGATTGTAACATCAGATAAATACTATATTTGAGCTTGTGTTCAGTTAACAGGATGATGACATCATAGTTTTTCATAGAAAGATTTTTTTTTTTTTTTTTTTTTTATAAATATGGGGAAACCAAAGCTCATGATTGTAACTACTCTGTACCTTTTCACCAGAGTATAATTTTTTTTTTTAAGGACTTTTTTGTTCACCTTCAGCTCAAGTTGTCATCTAGGTTTCCTAAATTACAGAACCCTAACTCTTCGTGGAAGGCTTCGCTCTTTTACATGTGATGAAATGGGAGGGCATTCCTACATTCTTTGTTACAGGAGAGGGAGATGGTGTGGTGAAATGGGAAGTCACTTGGAATCACGAGAGAAGAGTTCATATTTAAAAATTCATACTGAAAACAATGAAGTCAGATAAATCACTGCAGGTTCTATGTTAAAAAATTGAAATGCTTTGATTGGAGGCTTATGTTGTAAATCTAAATATGCCTAATGTGGCAAAGCTTTCATGACGGATCTTTTCTAATATGCTTTTCTTTCAAAATTTTGAAGCTCAGAACCGAGCTTTATTCATTTTAACAAGCAGAATATTATGATTGGCCGCTAATTATAGGGTTAATCTTTAGTTCTTGACTTGATGTGACAATTGTTTCCCTTTGTCTAATTATAAGGACATGAATATCCTGCTCCATTGTTGCTTGATAAAAGAACAGTAGTAGCATGCTTGTGGATGATGTATCGGTGACTAGCGGAATAGTTCAAGGCAATATATGCCAATTGTTTTATACGTCACGATGTATGAGCTTAATGCGGTGCATTGAAGAGATATCAATTACTACTTTCTATATTTATGATATGCTGTAATGTGGGTTTTCATATTGGACAGGAAAAGACGAGGAAAGAAATTCTCAGGAATCAAGTTGGTCGTGTCTCCCTGTTCATCGCGTTACTCATTGGTCTAGTAGGTGTGCTAATTGGGTACTTTATCAGATGAAGCGAGTATTCCAGAGCAGGCAATTTGCATGGAAAGATGCTATTATTGTTAGTGCCATTTGATAATCCATTTCTTTTTGAACGTCGAAATTTAGTTTATCATGTCTTCCTTTCAAAAATTTTGTAGACAAATACCATTGATCATTTTACATGTGAGGGACTGGTTTCTGTGGAATTTCAAAGGGACCTTGCCTTTTTCTGGGTGTTTGTTTTGTCAAGTTGAAGGGGGGGAAAGTAGCAGTCAAGATAGAGAAGGATTGGGAGTTTATGGCTGCAGCGGAGTTTGATGACAGCTCGTTTGTGATTGGTGAATGTCAGCTGTGACTGCTTCGGTGCGTCGTCTGTAGAGGGTGGTGCTTTCTTCTCTACAGAATTGTTAAAAGCTGTCCTGTGGCTCCTGGTTTAAGTGACCTTGCCTGCAGAAAAGTACAACAATACTATTTATTTGAAAAAAGAATCACCGTACAACAATTTGTAAAATTCCAACTTTTTTCTGAGACTCTTTAAGGAAAAAGAAGGTGAACCACAAACCTCACGATCACCACTGCTGCTGGGAGATTAATTAATTTCTAAACTGGAACGTACTCCTAAAAAGTTGGAATGTGCGCTATAGTGAAACAGGTACTCTGCCACTGGTCATTTGGTCCGATAGTCATCACTCTTTTTGATGATGCTGGAGGTTAGGGGTATGGTCCGGGGTTCTATCCTGCCTTCCTTAAATTTGCCACATTATGAGGCTGATTTTAGTTGATCATCTCCCCTTATTTCTTTCCTCTAGATTAGGCTAGATTAGATTATAGGACATCTATCGTTATCGAAAAAAAAAAAAAAAAAAGTGAGACAGGGACACTGCGTTTTTTTTTAACAGGCACTCTGCATTGAACCATAGATTTGTTATCTTGGAATCTGCTATCATTGAAATAGATTTGTTGTATTGAATTGACGTTCAACTTTCCCTTGAAGAAAAAGATCCCTTAGTTACTCTGTTTTACTCTATCAAATAGCCAATTTTTTTAGCTGAATTTAGTTAGAGTTGTGCAACATATGGTTTTCAAGAAGTTTGGTTCCCCCCCCAACCGAAAAGAACAAGCAAAACACCTCATTTCCAATTAGATGTTCAACAACACCAATCAATTTATTCAGATCACATAAAATAAATACCAGAAAAACACTTGGAACAATTACGAAGCTTGGAGAAACTAGTTCGACGAACAACAAAATTAATCAAAGGTACCGCCTCCGAACCAGAAAAAAAAAAGGAAAATTTTAATTCCAAAACAGCATCTTAGATCTTCTTCTGGGACGGGTCCTGACCGAAATCATTGATCTTGTCCAGAGGGCAGCGCCTGCGGTTGGTCTCCTCCACTTGCTTGGCCATGGCCAATCCAGAACGGGCCAGTTCCCTCAGGTTGGGAACGTCGTAGTTTTGGGCAACATAGACTCCAAAAACACCTCCGAGCATGAGCCTAAAAGTGGTACCAAAGAACCCCATTGATGTATTTACTTGTGTTGATTCTATCTAATCAATTATATAAAACAATAGCACAAAAATTCCTCCCGGAAACGAAGTGGAAATGAGTAGATGGAACATGATGATGAATCTTGGAACTAAGTTTTACTGCTGTAATATATACTTATATAGTGAGTGGGGTGTGAAGGATGTTGGCTTATTCTCCAAGTATTTCCCTCCTGGCTACAACTCTCTGGTTTCTTTTGGATTACGCTTTTGGGGAGTTTATTTTTCTAATCTTGAGAAGACAGCTTCGTTCCTCCTCCTCCAAGAGTCAAAGGTCAACGGCTTTCATCATCATTATTATTATTATTTAATGAGTCAACATCAACATGAGTATATTTAAAGAGTAAGAAGTAACATAAAATTATAAGGACCAATCTTTAAATATATATAGTATGAGAAAGGCTAATCCAAGTTTTGTCTTCTAAATCCCTTTACATTATTGAAATTTTCATTCACATCCTTGTACAAATTAGACTTTGTGCCTCCCCTCCCACCCCCAATAAAAGATTGTAGAAATCTTTTTAATCTCCTTGAGACATTAAAAGTTTTTTCTCGTATTCTTGTAAATATTGGACTTTATACCCCCAAACCTTTTACAGTATTGCAAAGGGCCTCCCCGACCCTTGGCTCTGCTAGTGATGTGATTGGCTGAAATTTAAGTTAAATCTAATCTATGCTTGGGACTTTGTTCCATCTTTCATAGGCAGAACAGAAGGGTGTGCTTTGTCTGAAAGAGAGCCATATGTGGAGAGGGATGAAAATCTGCCTTAGTCAATTGTTTATTATTTACAATGTGCAAAAGATCTGCTCTAGCACACAATCAATCTTGGAATTGGTTATCAAAAGAAAAAGAAGTTGTTTATCGAAAGAAAAGAAAAAGAAGTTTGTTTGGATCTAATGAGCCAATATTTAGTGTTTGCCCAAAGACTTGGAAGTTTTTGCCTTGTGGGGACTCCAAAAGTGATACGAATAATAACACTCTGCTTAAGAACAAAGAGTAAGACGCTTTATTTATTCATAGCGATCGCTAAACAAGTCATATATAATTAAGAACAAACAAAGTACTGAAATTACAAGAAGTCACAATTAATTAGTATGTATGTAAGGTTTCAAAATATTGTTAAACAAGTCATCTTAATAATTAGATCTTGTTCTGAGGCCCGTCTGGACCAGCATCATCATCCATCTTCTTCTTGCTCTGCTGCTGCTGGGGCTTGCGGTAGGTCTGCTCTACCTTCTTGGCCATCAAGAACCCACAACTGGCCAGCTTCCTCAAGTTTGGGACGTCATAGTTCTGTGCAATATACACTCCAATTACACCCCCGGCCATGTACTTAAAACAGCTCCTGAAAAATCCCATGATGTCGACTCGCTTTTTCCTTTTTCCCTTCACGTATGCTTTCAGATTAAGAGGAAAAACAACCCATTGTCTCCACTCTAATAGTAGGAAATCATTCAAATTAAAGAGATGGGATTTGCGATGATTATGAAGCCCTTTATGTTTTGATTTATATATATAGTGTCAAAACTCTGAAGGGGGTTGTCTTGTTATCCAAGCCTTTCCTTCCCCTCCTCCAAGAGTCAACTCAACGGCCTTGCCTCCAAGAAATTTCATCAACAATTTTTAGATAATACCAACTACCCAAAAATGTTACTGGAGGTTTTGCTAAGCGTACAATGCCAGTGCCATGCACGAGGTGTCAAATTCTAATTCCGATTTTTCAGCTTTGTGAATTTGTCACAAGGGATAAAACTACTTTTACGTAGGGATGGGTAAAATTGCTCATTAACCCGAAAATCCGTCATATCTGATCTCATATTCAAAAATTAGGATATTCGATCCGTATTATTTGATGAATCAAAAGAAAATCGGGTATCCGCTTAGGTGCGGGGCTGGTTAGAGTGGGTTGATTAAAAACTCGCGAGTACTCGACCCGACCAGCATATATTTTTTAGTTTTTAATTTTTATATATACTATAAAATAATATTTTTAGAGCTAAATAAGCATTTTTCATTGAACAAATTGTAATACAATTATGAGAGACTATAGTTCATTTATAAGATTTATTTGCAGAGATCATGATCTTATATTTTATAGAAAAGAGGTTAATTAATGTGGAATATATATTTAAAAAAGGTGCTATTTATTTCAAACTTTTATTGATTATGAATTCTTTTAATTTTTTTCTTTTTTTTTTTGTATTCTCTTCACATGTTTGTTTCTTGATGGGAGAATTTTTGAAAATTTTTTTATTAAATCCTAGATGAATGTGTAAAGTGCAAAATTAAATTAGTATAAATCATTTTTTTAAACAAGTAAAGGATAAGTGGGGGCAGAACAAGTAACCGTTGATCCAAGCCTATCTTAGCGGGTACCCTATAACTGAGTATCCACTGATGTGCGGGACGGATAAGGATCAGAACATGGCTAACTGGCAAGATATGGGTCGAATTAGCTAAATGGTGCACGGGTCGGATACCGGACCGTGCCCACCCCTACTTTTATGGCATTTGATTGGTTGCTTTTTATTGAATTTAGGGATGGATGAAAGGGTAAATCATAAATATATGACTTGAAATCTTAGAATAATTTATTGAATGTCATCCTTCGTGCAGAAGAAATAAGAAAAAACTTAGCAAAAAATAATGGGAAATTTTTTTTATAACTATGTAAAAAGAGGTTAATTGTAACTACAAAAGAAATGCATGCTAGTCTCCACCGTAATTAAATTACCAATAACTATCGTTTTGCTAAGATTTTGACGTCACATGATTGCGTGTGTTGTAATTTAATTACTTGGAACTACGAAATACGGCTGATCCATGGCAGTTGTTTAAGGAGCATTTCCCTAAACCCAATCCAAGAAGTGGGAAGAATTTCTCTAATCTTGTAGAATATTTCTTTTTGCCGCTTATCCACGGGCGGTAGTCCTACTTGAGCAGCTACCCAGTCCAAGTATTCATGCTGCCCCAACAAAAAGTTACAGAACTAATTAATTACAAAACATTAGATTTTGTTAACTTAATTAGAGGGACAAAAATAATTACTAGCTAGCTGAGATAATCCAAACTGTACCATATTAAGGTCAAGTGAATGAGTGTGGTGTTTTGGGATTCCCTTCTCCTCCAAAAGCCGGTAACATTGTTCAAGATCAGCTGACATATCTTCTTCCGATGGCAAGCTCACCTTGCCAGATAAAACAGAGGCCACCCACTTGGCTTGTAAATCGATCATGACAAAATTGATTGCCTTGTAATCACCAAAAGTGACAAAAATGCATGATTCAGTAATTGGATTAAGAGAGAGCAGTTTTAATGAAATTTGCTTGAAAAAAGAATTGCCATCCTGTATGGTATTTAAGCAGCAATGCATAAAACAACTTACCACGCGAGGTATTCCAACAAAAGAAAGCCTAGGAGCAAGTTGTGGAGGGAAAACATGCTTGTACAACGGTCCAACGCGATTGTCATCATCAATAGTTATGACTCCATTTGTTTTCAAGAAAGGCAAATTATACTTGTACCTGTGTTAGTTACAATAATTAATGAAAAAAGCTTCAGAAAACTTTGATCCAGCCTCTCTTACCATGAACCTATATATTAGTGTATATTAATGGAAGGTTAAGTAGTTGATTATAGGCAAACAGCATGTAATTAGTACTAGTTGATTATAGAGATGAAAAATGGAAATGGGTTGTGGTGGAATATTTTACCCAGTGCAGTGGAGAATGGTATCTGCTGTGACCAGAGCTCCATCCTCAAAAGCTATTTCACCATTTTCATAGCAATTTGTGACCTATAACAAGCTTGAAAATGAAGTTGTATGCTAGAAATGACTTCAAGTAAAATCATGAGCTAATGAGAAGGGAAAAAAAAAAACAATCATTTTGTGCTGCAACTCCAAATGTCGTGGGGTGATACAAAATTACGTACCATAGCAACAAAATTCAAATAAAAATAAAT